TATCTGAGCCAGAAAATACTGTGACTACCCAGAAAATAATTTAAAGGCTGAAAAAACATAGATTGGAGTCAGGAAATTGACCAAGGTTACAAAGAACACTTGGAACAGAAATGGCATCAGAGCATGAGATTCCTGCATTCAGTTCAACAGCACACTTTCTTCATTTCCTTCTCACAATGTAACAGAGCTGCCTATGAGAAAAGGTGGAACTAAGTAACATTATAAATAAGGCCATTAACCCATGAAGTCCAGTAATAATTAAAACTATTACATAAAGCCCCGATTTTGCAATCAGGTCAATCTCTTTATGTAACTAAACTGAACATCCATGAGGAATTTCAAAACTACTTCAATGACCATGTAATCAACATCTTTTGTGTTTATATGAATTTAAACATTTAAATTAAATGCAACAACAATGCCAAAGCAATGTTGGTCATATAGCAGTATGAGGTAAGAAGATAGGTTTGTTTGCAGCTTTGTGCTTTGTTGTTGCTTTTATTGTTATTGTTGTAGTTAATGTTTTTGACTCAACTTTTAACTTAACCATGTATCTTTACTATATAAGTTCCAAATGTTTTTGGTATACTCTCTCATGAATTACAACACAGATACAAACATCAAGCAGTGATTTGTAATCCTTTAGAGGGAAAGACACTTTATTAATGTAACAGGTTATATATTTTTGTTTGTTCAGTCAATGGAGAAAAAGGTTTTTTCCTGAAAGATTTTAAATAAAAGCTAGTATGTTGTAGAGCTATTTTTTTATAACATATTTTAACTTACTTTTAAAAAAAACCTCTTAATTGGAATTAATATTATTATGCAAGCTATGCAAACTATGATTTGTTTTCTACAACACATGTGCGTAAGAAATGGTCTAGGGCTTTGAAATGATAATAATAATGAGACATCTATGCATTGTGCCCTAGCATGAATATCTAAAAAGCCTTTATTTTCTTCACAGATAGGTTATCAAACGAAGAGTTATTTTCCACCTCAGTTGACTTTTGGTTTTGTTTCAGCGGTTATAAACCAGAGTGTGGGAGGAAAAAATGGGTTGTAGCACTCTGGTTCACTGAAGCAGTTCTAAAATATGGAAAATCTGAATATCATTAGGCCATCACCTCTACGTCTTCTTAAAAACATTGTCCAACACCAGGCCTTGTAGGGCTGGTGATTAATACATAACATTTTATATGAAAGAGTACATTTTACTATCAAAATGGTCGTCCAGTAAAACTGCCACTCAAATCACTGAAGGCATCTCCATCAGTATTAACGTTAAACAGCTATAACAAACTTCCTTCACACCTATTTTTCTTTTGCCACTAAAACTTTAAGCAATGTAATATAAAATTTCTCCTCTTCTTTGTGCTTGAAACTATAAATTCTACTTTCTCTACAAGATTCCCAAACCCTACACCACACATATGCTCAAAAACTTTCCGTGTGCCAAAAATCACTGAATTGCTCTTCCCAGAAATGCCAGCACAGAATGGTTTGGACACTCAGCTGGAGAAGCACCAACTTAGTGTGAGGTTCAATTGTTTGTGGGGAAAAAAAAAAAAACACTTGGGAAAAGTGATACTAGAGAAGGAAGAAGTTTACTGTAAAAGTCAAGCAAGGGACGCAGCCTGCTTCTACCAGAAATCAGTCCAAAGCGACAGGCTTGCACTATGTGCCCTTAATATCTATTTCAGTAGCAAATGAATTTATCTAACTATAATTTCTACCTCTCGCCTTCTACACAGGAAATACACTGCGTGCCATTTGCTAGATTTACTTTTCTATTCTTATATTTATCACATGTATGTGAAATTGCTTTAAAAATTCAGGCTACTCATATTTTAGCAATCAATTAAACAGAGCTAGTTCAAAATTTGATAACTAAATTTTTCCCATTTGCCTTTACATTTAAAACAAATCCACAAAGAAGTTTATTTTTATACAACAGGAACATTAAAATAAATATTTTGATTCATGGTCTCATCCAGCACCATTTTATTCAATAAAGTACCAAATCACTAAAGGCACTACTAGTTTAGTCAATTAACTCCAAATTACTATTTCTACTATTACTGTCCTTCATTTTTAGCTTAATAATATTAATGTCCTTAGTGACATTATTTTCAGAATAAAAAAAAAGATTGTTCAGAGAATTTATAATATTCCCAATTGTTCGTCATACATGTTAGCTAACAGTCATTCTACTAAATAGAATATTCTGTTGCCTAAAACCATGAGAACATTCTAAGAAGTTTTTTTATATATATTTTATAAAACAAAACGCCCAAGAGCTCCATATACAATGGCACACTTTTGCCTCAGTTGGCATATGGAATCTTAAGAGAAGCTAGAAGCAAATGTGTAAAAATATATTACTATCAAAAGAAACATAAATTAAAAATCTATGTCCTTGTTACAGTGTAACAATAGTAAGAATGGTATATTATAAATGATAATATACCATTCTTACTATTGATAATATAACATTCTTACTACAGTGTAGTAAGAATGGTATATTATAAATGATGATTAGATATTTATCAAATAAAGTTTTGTATAAACACAGCTGGCCACAGAACACTATCAGAAAATGGGACATTAATAACAGTAAAATCCAGTTAGGAATAAGCTATACCAGCACAGAAACTAACAAACTTTTTGTCTTAGGGTTGAATTTAGGAGAGTGACAAAACTTACTTGGACACTTAAAACACAATTTAAAGAGCTGCCTCAATGTGATGCAAACTATCCTCATCTATGAACAATCAACCAAAATTTGTAGAGAATTCCCCATGATATGCTCCCACATAAAAAACACAAAATATCAAAATTTATAAATGAAATGGTTGTTATATCCAATGAGTTAGAAAATGGTTGAAGTTATTAAAGAAGATGTAAAAGTAAGATACAAGTTTACCACACAATGTATTAGGACATCCAGTTAAAACCCTGTATCAACTCAAATTCCTAGACCTAGAAGTTGCATACCTTCTCACTGTCCTGATACCTTAAAATGGAAAACTGAATGTATTACCTTGCTGGATCAGGAAGAATTTCAGGACTACTAAATCTAAATAAGAACTATAAATATATTTCTAAAACAACTTAGTTTTATTAGCTCAATGGAGAAACTACAAAGTGAAAATATAGTTTTAAATATAAACATCTGGTTTCCCTTAACCTTGGCCATTCTTGAAAGGTCTATAATAAGAAATGGTCTCTATGATATCTATCTACCTTACATCTGGCTCCCTGTGGCAATTCGAATTCCCTTTGGTAGTCTTGGAGTCTTAGAGCTTAAAGGTAAAAGGCAATTGGAAGATTTACCACCTTCAAGTGTGTAAACTGTGGTCCAAGAATATTAAGTGATGGGCCCAGTTACATAAGTGGTTAGAGTCCTATGATTACCTTAGGTTTCATCACTAATTTAGAGAGCAAACTATAAACAAGTAAACATTTATGCCATTTTACATTTGGTAGAGGGTTTTTCTACGTTTGAATTTGATGGTTTTACTCACTCTGGGTTATTTGTTTGGCTGGTACTAACAGACAACTTCAGAATCTAAATACCTAGATAACTAAATTTTCTCTTATACAATCCTATGTTTCATTAGGCTAGTTCTTTCAATCTGAAAAAAACATTGGCAGTTTCTTAGAGGTTTTTCTATAAATAAGGAAACTAAAATCTATAGCGATTAAGTGTCTTAAACTAAAATTCCTTAAATATGTTAAGACATTATATTTTTTAATTAGTTTTTCAGTTTTGACAGCTAAACAGACTATCATTATCAGTAAATATTCTAGTTTTTGTTAAAATATCCCAGAAATGAAAAGCTCTATTATTTTCTTTATTTGCTTTAAAATAGATCTAAAATTTAACCCTGAAATAGCCAAAAAACAAACTCTAAGTCAAGAATTCTGGCTATAAAATGAGTCAGTTAATATGACTGCAGTCTTTGACACCCCACTCCAGTTTCTCACTGGGAACTGAAGCCACATCTCCCACCCACATCTATGACACACACACATTCAATCAAGACTGTGTCTCCAATATCAAACGCTGGTGGATATGGAGCAACAGAAATGCTCATTGATCACCATTGGGAATGCAAAGCGGCACAGCCACTCTGAAAGACAGTTTGGGAGTTTCTTACAAAACTAAACATAGGCTTACCGTAAGATCAAGGTATTTACTCAAATAAGCAAAAAGCTTATGCCCACACAAATCTGCATATGAATATTTATAGCAGCTTTATCAATAATTGCCAGTAGGTGAATGGATAAACTGTGGTATACCATGTAATTAACTATTATCCAATGATAATAATAAATGAGCTATCTATCGAGTTATGAAAAGACATGGGGAAACCTTAAAAGCATATTGTTAAGTGAAGGAAGCCAGTCTGAAATTGTTACATTTGATATGATTTCAACTTTATGACTTTCTCAGGACAGTAAAATCATGGAGAGGAGCACAGGACATTTTTAGAATGGTGAAAGTATTCTATATGATTCTGTAAACTATTCTATATGATACTATAGATATATGACACTATACATTTGTCAAAACCCATAGAACTGTGCAACACAAAGAGGGGACCCTAACATAAAGAATGAACTTCAGTTAATAATTCTGTATCAATATTCGTTCACAGTTTTAACAAATGTACCACACTTTGCTAGAAAGTAATAGGAATAACTGCATGTGGGGTGAGGGAGGAGTACATGGAAACTCTGCTTTGAGTAATTTTCCTGTAAATCTAAAACAGCTCTAAAATATAATGTCTATTAAAAATAAGAACACTATCTCATGAACTAGTATCATAAATTTATATAAAACTATAAGGTCTAAATAATGTGAAAAGCAAATATACAAATGAAATGACATTTCCCCCAAAACAAACACATGGTGACATTTATGCTACTTGTGAAGCAAAAAGCAACATAAATGACCTTAACACTAAGAGAAATAAAATTTGAAATATTCTTACCTGTCCTGCGACTGTTCTTCATACATTCTCTCTTTGCCTTCTTTAAAGAGTCTTATTGCCCGTTTTGACTTTTTCATTAGACTATCAATGTAGATTTTAAAATATTCATTCTCACTGAGTTGGGCAAGTTTCTGGTTGTCATCATATTTACTCAATATAAGTCGCAAATGCTGATATGTATCAGGTAAAATATCAAGTATATACGGTGGGCTATTTTTCAACTGAAGTTTGGGATTTTGGCACAATCTGACCTAAAAATAAAGACAAAAATAAAATATTTCATATGAATCACAACACTTTCTTCCATAAAAAAGCTGGGAAACTTAGTGAAATATGTACTATTTCTTCGCTTTCCATAATATAAATTTTGATCTTAAAATTACTAATGCCCATCTACAAAGAACTGACAAATATTTGCATCTTAATACAATTAAATCCTATTTTCTTCTCCTTCCATTCAGGTTTCTTTTTTTTTATGTCATACCTTTACTTTTTAACCCCTAATGTTTTCATTCTCTCTTCTACAATGTTTCATTGCTTATGGCTTAATAGAACTACAGAATGTTAATTATTGTATACCACTAACGTTCTTTTTTAAACAAAAATGAGGAAACAAGCCTCTTCTGCTGATAACCAGTGTCTCATATTTATATATTATTTTACTATACTGAACTACCATTTAAAATGCTTTCATAGGTATTAATTAATGTTTTGGTATATCGTTCCTAACCCTAAGGAGAATAAAACAAAGAGGTACGATTTTAATAACTGAATAAATGAAGTAGTAAATGGGTGTCAGGTCAGAGTGAGTCTTTTCCGCCTCCCCATATGACCTCCCACTTCTGTAAACATGTGTTACATGACGGTTCAGTCATTCTATCAGGTGCTACCCAACCACTGGAGCGTTTAGGGCTGCCTGCAGAACTGAAAATACCTTCTGCTAGCAAGAAAAGGTAGTAATTCAACTACTATATTCACTTCCACATGTTCATGTGATTCAGTCAAAATTAACACATCTCATTCTTATCCCTTGAACCAGGGCATAAGAAACCATTCAATTAATTTTTTAGTGAAATCATTGGGAACTGCAGAAAACCATATATAATGTAAAGGTGAACACTCTTAAAGGTAAAATGCACCCATACAGGCAGATTCACTGAAAAGCTAGTGAAGCATAACCTTAGGGTCCCTCAGATACTTAGCTCTCTTCTAAGGCCTTCATCATATTTTTGTTGTCATTAAATTTTCAAGAGCAAGATATTTTAAACACAATCTGTTAAGGTTTCTGCCTTTTTTCCAGATGGTTTTCTTTCCATCACACTTAACCTCCTGTTGGGTGGCACTGGAGTGGCCATGGGCATTTCTGGAATCTGGCTAACTAGAATTTGAGTTGGTGACGCATTTAGTTTTGCTTTAGCAGACGGTACATATTAAGTGCACAATCACTTCTGGAATTTTTAAAATTAGTTAAAATTATTGTTAGCAGTCATGATAAAAGAACGGCTTCAGGAATACTTTAAGTATTCATGGTACCGACTAGTCCAGCAAAGGAGAAGAGAGGTCCAGATCAAATCTGGTCATCTGAATGTATCCAGTGGTACCCAGAACTGGAAGTATATGTGTACAATGGAAGAGTAACAAAGTATAAAATGTACAGTCGAGATTCTCTGATATTTATAGATTTATCAATTTTTTAATTTTATAGCTTTTTGTGACTTTATTGTTCTAAAAAAATTTATCTTTATACCCAATTTTATATTTGTACTTTTATATTTGTTTTCTTTTTTATTAAAAGGACCACTCCAAATTTCGGGTTCCATAAAACATGGATCCACAGCTGTGGACTCATAAAAGTACCTGAGCCAAATAGAAAGCAGTTGAACAATAATAATTTCAAGAACCACAAACAAAACTCAAGGAAACAACAAATGAAAAAAAAAGATACTCTTAAACTTGCTATCTCACTGGCTTTCTTTAATCAACCATGTTATCCTTTGTGGGGAGAAAAATCTTGCTCAAACTATCAAGCATCAGTCCCTAATTTAAGACAATCATTTCTCACTGAGGGCATTTTAACTGAGAGCATTTTTGTATCTTCCTCCTCTTTGTATACAGTGCCTAAAATAGAAATATCTATTCTACAGTACAGAATTAATAAAAGAATGTGCAGATGGTTTGATTGATTGATTCTGGAATACTTTTTTTATATATAATACACAAATAGTATTACTTCTTTGATTTCATGATTGAACTATATTAGTATTCAAATTAATAACCCAAAAATATAGGCATAGTTTAAATGTCAAAATGTTATTTTGATCTCCTAAAGAAATAAAAAGGTTTAGATGGCAAATAGTTTATTAAATGCCAATTTTTTTAAATAAAAGTATAGTTAAAAGGGCTGATGAAGCTTTTATACACTTTTTATCTTTGTGACACTTTTTTATAATCAGAAAAGCTCACTCTCCCCTAAGGACTGATGAAGTCACAAATATGTCAATGACTTAACAAATCATGGTTGAAACAGGATATAGTTTTTCAATTCTTAAAACTAAAAGAAGTATCATAAGTATGCACCAATTTCAAAAATATTACAACCAACATCCTACTGCAGGCACAGTTTAATTTCAGTAACATAAAACTCGGTACATGTCACAGACTGATAAATTATTAACTTGTAGTTAGGGGGCTAAGCAGTTTCAAATTCATTTTCTCTACTGGTGAATATTTTCACTGATAAATAAAAAACTTCTCCCAGGTACTCTTTCAGACATTCCAAATAACCGTTCTTTAATAGATTCTTTTAAATCTTAGCCATTTTTAATTTATTATTCTCTGCCTGACCTCTTTCTCATTTGCTTTATTTAAATCGTAATTCTTTCTGGGAATTTATTGCTTTATTCAGTAACATTGTTTGAATAACTACTATATACCAGGTACTGAGCTTTGCGCCAGGAAATTATGGATGACTAGAATATATTTCCTCAAGGAGTCTGGCAGAAGAGATCTAGTTCTCTATAATTAACTTAGGAGCAATGTAATTCTTGCTCTAAGGGATCTTAGTAAAGATCCTGTCCAATCCATTCATTTTCAAATAAAAGAAACTAAAAACTACAAAGATTAAAGAACTATTAAAAAGTCATTAATCCAACACAAGAGCTTGCATCTTCTGAATCTCAGGCTGTATATCACAATTTAACTATATCACAATTTAATTAGAATCAGACACATATAATTAATGATCCCTGACTAAACTCATTTAAATCTTTATTTTATTCCATTTGCAAATTTACATGAACTTCAGGATTCATTTTTTTAATTCCACAAATGTTGTGTCAGGCATTGTTTCAGGCCCTAGGGAATACAGAAAAGACACAAATTACAACCTGTCCCTACAGGAGTTTTCTAGTGAAAAAGACTAGTGGCTTAGAAAAGAATTACAGGAGAATTTGAGTAAGGTAAAGGAGGAGAGTATAATGTGTTAGGGGAGAAATGAAGCAGCTCACTCACATCTACATGGGAGTGTCAAGAAAAGCATAGCTAAATTTGCAATAGCACTATTCTAGGCAAAGGGGTGTGCAAAGGCTTGAGAAGCACTAGTGAGGAGGGTATATGAAAAGAACAGTCAGTGCAGTCATTCAAAATAGGGGTACAGGAAACCCATGGGTGAGTGGCACAAGTAGATTTGAAATAGGATAGTCAGTTCATTCAGGCTTTTGTAGGCCAGTTTTCTAAATCTGTACTTGGTAACTGCTACATACAATGCTGTACTACCATATGCCTCTGAGTATGCAGTTCATCAGGTAGATTAGTATTAAACTCTGATTAATGACAGCTCCTTTCAAAAATGAATAACCCTACACCAGGACTATGACTTCTAAGCAGGTCAAATTCAATTCATTTCAATAAATATTTATTGAGTGCCCACTATGTGCAAGGAACTGTAAAAGCCAGGGAAAGAAAAACTGCTTTTCTAAAAGCAATACATTAAGGAGAAAAATCAAGCTCACCGCAAGGTGAGATTCAAGTTCAGATTCAAGTAACTTAGAACTCTTCTAGAAATGTCTAAGTCACTCCTTAGAATTAAAGTGGGTCTCAACACAGAAGAGCTTACACAAAGGACAAATCTGCAGCCATATTATACAATGATGAATTTCTTAGGACATCGACTGGTCCATGAAAGGATTGGTTCATTGGCAATGTAACTCTGCTTTTTAACTAAAAGGCAAAACATTATTGGAATTAGGCTAAAAATACCATTATAGTCATTAACTTAAAGGATTTCAGAGATCACTAAAGAGGACCTTGTAGATCACCAAGACCAACTCCCTCCTTCTGGCATGACAACAGTAGAATTCAGAAGTAAAACCTAGCTGAGTTTACTGCCCAGAACACTGAGGTCTGGACCTAAGAGTCAGGCACTCTCCCTACAATGGTCTACAACTGCTCGTTGTATTTGTTTAAAAGTTTTTAAAGATTTTTAAAGAGACCTCTATATATATGTCTACATTGTCTGACATACATAAAAATATGTCTAATCTATACTTACTACATTTGTATTTCAATAAAGTAATGAATATATATTCATATACATAAAATATATATATTCAACCGTATCAAATCAAAGGCACAAATATAAACACAGGATTTACTAGTGTTATAAGAATTTTCAAAGCCATTAATTATTCTTGGAACACTTGCATTTAAAGTTTCCCGACTATATCTTAATTAAAATTTTCAGCCAAAATGTAACAAAGAGGTATTAGGTCACTTAACATATTTCTTGCAAACAAGGTTCAAATCAGCCCCTAAAATATTGGAAAGAAATTCAGCTGAAACAAATGGAAACTTCAACAGTAGGAAATCATGTCTATACTATAGCAGACTTTCATTATGAAGCACACCTCGCCTCATGGAGCATTCAGTCATATTAAATCAAGTAATGTACCTGCAAAGTGAAATATTCCGCTTTTTTAAAGACAGTATGGAACGCCTGAAAGAATCCCTTGTCTCCGCTCATGTAAATGTTGTAAGAGGTTCCTATTACAGTTACATGAAAGCATATCATCATGATAAAAACATCTATGAGTACTATGGGTTATTCCCATTTTAATTCAGCAAATCATTAAGTATACAAAAATACAAAACCATATACAGTATAAAATGTAAAAAGTATAAAAATAATACAAAACTCTTTCTACATAGAGTATCAGTTGGGCAAAACAAGGTCAGCATATAAAATTGGTTTTGA